CCAGACATATAATAGTCAAGTTCCCAGATCTCCAGCAAAAGAACAAAATATTTAAACCTGCAAGAGAAAAGAAACAGATCAGGTATAAAGGAAAGCCATCAGAATCACAGCAGACTTCTCAGCACAAACCATCCAGTCAAGAAGAGCTTGGAGCAAAGTATTACAGGTCCTGAGACAGAAGAGCTTCCAACCAAGACTGATGTACCCTGCGAAACTATCCCTCAAATTCAACGGAGAAATAAAATTTTTCCATGACAAAGAACAATTAAAGAACTTCATGAGTGCCAAGCCAGCATTACAAAAGCACTAAAAGATATTCTAGACAGAGAAGAATCTGACTGCAATTTCAAGAACAGTAGAAAGGAAATGTCAAGAAGAGCAAGCAAGAAAACAGGTACAAAAAGTAGGAAACCAAAGCAAGTAAATAACATGACAATGATAAATCAACACATATTGGTTATAACTATAAATGTAAATGGCCTCAATTCTCCAGTCAAAAGAAATACACTGGCAGAGAGGATTAAAAAACAAAATCCAACAATATACTGTATACAGGAAACACATTTTACTCAAAAGGAGATCCATAGAGTAAAAGTCAAAGGATGGAAAACAATCCTCCATGCAACAGGAACCCAGAAAAAAGCAGGTGTAGCTATTCTGTTTGCAGACAATGTAAACTTCAAACTGACAACAATCAAAAGAGATAAAGAAGGTCACTACATACTAGTCAGGGGAAAAGTGCAAGAGGATGAGATAACAATCATAAACATGCATGTACCAAATATCGGAGCTCCAAATTATATAAGACAAATCTTAACAGGCATGAAAACCCATATAATTAATTGTAACAGGGGACCTCAACACCCTTTGACACAAAGAGATAGGTCAACTGGACAAAAAATCAGCAAGGAAATAGCAGATCTGAACCAAAGCTGTGAACAAATGGACTTGGTAGATGTCTACAGAGTGTTCCACCCCACAACATCAGAATACACATTTTTCTCAGGTGCACATGGGACTTTCTCTAAAATAGACCACATTCTATCCCATAGAGCATACCTCCCAAAATGCAAAAGAATTGAAATTATCCTGTGCATATTATCTGACTACACTGCAATGAAGCTGGAAATTAGCGACAAAAGGAACTCCAAGAACTCCATAAACACTTGGAAACTAAACAACAACCTCCTCAACAACCAGAAGGTCACAGAAGAAATTAAAAGAGGAAATTAAAAAATTTCTACAAACAAATGAATATGTAAATACAACTTATCGGAATCTATGGGATGCAATGAAAGCAGTCCTCAGAGGGAAATTTATCATGGTGAACCCACACATAAAGAAACAGAAAGAGAACAAATAAGTAGCCTAATGCTGCATTTTAAACTTTTAGAAAAAGAAGAACAAGTCAAGCCCAGAGCCCAAAGAAGGGAGGAGATTATGAAGATCAGGGCAGAAATTAATACAATTGAGACATAAAACCCTCCAAAAAATAAATGAATCAAAGAGCTGGTTCTTTGAAAGAATAAATAAAATTGATAAACCCCTAGCCAACCTTATCAAGAAAAGGAAGGAAAAAATCAGATTCTTGCAATAAGGAATGAAAAGGATGAAATTACTACAAATTCCACAGAAATTCAGAAGATCATTAATACCTACTTTGAAAAGCTTTACTGCCATAGG